CCATGGATGCATCTACCATTCCTTTGTGGTTATCCAGAAAACTTTCAAAAACATATTGGACTAATTGCCACTTAGGAATGTCATGATGTGGACACTTCCTAAGCAAATCATTAAATCTTTCGCATGCCTCATGGAACAATTCCCCATCCCTTTGAGAAAATTCATGAATGGAAGTTCTTATAGCATTGGTCTTTGATATCGGATAGTACTTTTTCAAGAACTCTTGTTGCATTTCTACCTAAGAGGTTATTGAAAAAGGCCTTAGATTGTTGAACCAAAATTTTGTTATATCTTTAAGGGTAAAAGGAAAGAGTTTGAGTCTCAAAACCTCTTCCGGCATGTCCGTGTATTTCACGGTGGAACACACTTCAAGAAACTCATCAAGATGCTTGTAAGGTTCTTCACTTGGAAGTCCATAATAATTAGGAAGCATTTGAATAGCTTACGGTTTAATTTCATAGTGGTGAGCTCTAAATGGGGGTAATTGAATGTACGTCGGTGCATTGTATTCATTTGGAAAATAATGATCATGCAAAGCAATGGGGGGGGGGGGGGAGGGGGTTTCACAACTGGTGGTGCTAAATGAGCACCATGATTAACTTGAACTATAGGAGGTGGAACAAAAATTGGCCGAGGCATTCCTAACGGAACTTGGCCTTGTTGTTGTGGTGGAATGAATGGTCTTGGTATGCCTAATGGGACTTAAATATTGACATGATGCATATTAGGGTGAAGGATGCCTTGTTGGTCTATGTGACCAAGGTCCCCCATATGGTCCTCATTTTGCTCCTCCATTGATGAAATGGAGTTGTTTAATTTACCTCTTCCCCTATGAACAATGGATTCAAGATTCAAATCAAGTGGGACAAGAGTATGATTTAATGATCTATGACCATGCATGCACTAACAAAACAAATAACAAGTAATCAAACAAGTAGCAATCACTTCACCTCCGCAACAAATCAATCAACAAATCTTCTTATACGATGTTCCCATACTCCCATGCTTTCAACAAGATACAAGTAAAATAAAAATTGCCTCCACGTGGGCTCACAATCTATTTAAGAAATTAATGACTTGCCTCCACGTGGGCTCAAGATTTAACTAGAGATTCAGTTAGAAAAGGCTCACAAAGGGTCCTTAAGCAACTTTAAATTATTTTCCAATTTTTGTTTTGCCTTATTTTGCTTTGCAATTTTTTTTTTTTTTTTTTTTTTTTTGAGCTTTTATGCTCTTGCTTAGCTTCACTTGGCTTTTTCCTTTGCTTTGACTCATTTTGCTTCACTTCACTTGGCTCAATACACCTAGCCAATCAAGAACAAATACAATAAGTAACCAAAATAAAAATAAAGTAAAGACATGATCAAAAGAGTACTAATTCCTAATTGTTTCCAAAGTACGGCGTTGCTTAATCCCTGGCAATGGCGCCAAAACTTGGTGGGGCCATGTCGTCAAGACCTATCGAGTTGCATGCAAAGTGTAGTGTGCCAAGTTTAAATTTATGAAATGCCACTATGTAATAACCCTATTTTCCAAAAGGATAAAATTGGAATTTAAAGTTTATTTTTGTGCATTTTTAATTGATTTTGTGTCTATTTGCTTATGTGTTTAATTGTTTTATTTATATTTAATTTAATTGTTAATTGTGTATTTGAATTTGTCTTATTTGATTAATTATTCTATTTAATTTAATTGTGATTTTAGTTGCTTTGTTAAGTATGTGTTTTATTTTATCCGACTGGATAGGTTGGATTACATGGGTACGGTTAATACTCATGATTTTATATTCATGTATATATGGGTATATATGTATATAGGGTTAATCTGACTAATATGATTTTAGGGTTTTATATAAATATGAAATCCGTAGCCGACTTATGTTTTTATTTTATAATTTATTTTCTTTTCTTTTTGCGGTTGTGTTTCCTCGTTAATTAGAATTAGGTTATCCTTTACACCTATAAATATATCATATTAAGGTTGTTTAGGGTTTAAACCAAATCACATACCCTATTCACGTATACAAGGGTTTATGTTACAGAGAGTTTTAGAGAGAAAACAGAGAGGTTGTGAGAAACAAACAAAGTAACTTTGGTGAGGGTTTGGCCGTGGCTTGAAGAACGGACGTAGGAGAAGGGAAGATTGAGCAATAGGAGATTGAACAGTGAATTGGAATTTGTTAGAAAACTTAGGAAGACGGCGACGAGATTTTTATTCAAAACAAACCACAGAGGCAAGTTCTATTCTGTCTCTCTCCCTTTAGCCTGTGTTTAGTGCATTCTTAGATGTTCTCTAGGATCTTAAACGGATATTAAATGGATCATGCATGCTTAGTATAGATTAAATTAATTATCTGTATTTGTTGAAATTAAACTGAAATCATTCTTGCAAGTTTGGTTTCACTTTTAAATCTTTGAGCATGTTGAAACGGTAATTGTTTTGATTAATCTGTTAATCCAAATTATGGTAAACAAATGACTGGATTGATAATTGGATATCAATGGAATATTACATGCTTAACAAATGATTAATTACTTGTCTGTATGTATTTAGCTTAAACTGTAATGGTTTCTGGAAGTTAACATATGTTGCCTGTTGTTAAAACGGAATTAAATCGGCAAGGGTTTTTATGGTTGTTATTGATACAAACTGGTTGGAATGAATAACTGGGATATTACTGGATGCATATTAGACTCCTAAGGTCAATATAAATGAAAAACAGAGGGGTTGGAATCAGCCGAAAAAGAAGAAGACGAAGCAAAAATGGAACAAGACTCAGAAAGGGAGAGAGCCGGCTCCCTCAAAGTGCAGAGCTGGCTCTGGGGAGTCAAGAGCCGGCTCTTAGCTCTCAAGAGCCTGCTCTCCCATGTAAGGAGGTGGCTCCATGCTTGCAAGAGCCTGCTCTTGGATTTTAAGAGCAAGCTCTCTCATTTTTATTTGTTCTGGAATTTTTAACGGGTATTGTTAAGTGCTTGGTTCTTCCTGAATCAGTTTTGGGGCTTTACTGGGAGATTTAATTTGTAATTCCAGAAGCTAGTAAGACCCCTAATTGCATAAATTACCTGTTAAATTTATTGGATGAACAGTATGAAATATTAACCACTTTGCATACTATTACCGGCTTAAAGGGAAATTAATGGGTTAATTTAATTTGGTGGTTTTAACGGATTATCGTATGAGTATAACTCTTGCTTTAAATCACAGTAAGGCTAATTATTTATCAAATTTAACCTATACATGCTTTGGATTTTTAATTGCAGAAAGATTTAAACTTGTTTCTACAATTACATGGATTACGACTAGGATTTTAATTGTGGAGTTATTATACATTAATATGCAATTAACTGAGTCATGATTTTAGTTTTTACTTGTTAATCTGCTAGTTATAATTCTGTAGTATATTGGTTTTGGACTTAAATTGCTGAACTAAAACATAGGTTCTGTAATTTACATGGAAGTTAACCTGGATTTAATTAAAGAATTAATTGCATATTTTCTGTTAATTATATGAATGGATTCTGGATTTTAAGTTGACGAACGATTAAACTTTGTCTCGTCAATTTCATAGATATTATTTTGGGATTATAGTGATGAACTGTTTACATTTTTGTTTTATCAACTATTTGGAATATGTGGATTTAATAGATGTACTATTTGAGTTGTTGTATCATTTACGGATCATTTGCATGGTATGCACCGGTATAGGACGGTGGCATACGGAGGGACGGATTAAGTCACAACGCTAATTCCTACCCATTCATACATGCAGAATGGATTAATTAAAACAGTTAAATCCTACATGGTTTCATGTCCTGTCAACTAAAACAGTTGAACGACATATTGGATGGTTGTTTATATTTCTGTAATAGGAAGGTTAGGGATTTAAGTAAAACATTTAAATCCTAATTATGTGTCGTGTCTGGACACAATGCAATGATAAAATGAGATTCGAATACCTTCCTCCTTCATCCCCTTCATCCAACATCATTGACCTCCCCAACGAAATTATTGATGAAGGTCTCCACTTTTGGAATCAATCCCATATAGTAGGGATATCCATCCACAAAAGAATTCCCTTCAAGGTCATCCAATCAGCAGCGGCTAAGCTATGGAACAAGCATGGACTCACTAACACTATCCAAGGAGAAGGGAATTCTTTTTTCTTCGGATTCAAATCAACCATTGAAGTAGAAAAGGTTTTATCATTGGGGCCATGGTCCATTGCAGGCCATCCTTTTTCCTTGATGAAATGGAATCAGGTTAACCAACCACACCTGAACCATCTTGGCTGCTTCCCATCTTGGGTCAAATTTCATGGTATCCCACCTAACTACTTGACAGCCAAAGGCCTTAGCTACATAGCCAGTTTAGTGGGTGAGCCTCTTTATGCAGATGAAGCCACTGAGAATAGAATTAAGCTTAAATTTGCAAGAATCTGCATCAATCTTGACTTGTCCAAACCACTGAAGCATGAAATACATCTAAAATTGGAGGATGGCAGCCTAGAGCAAGTTAGAATCGAATACATATGGCTTCCAAAGACCTGTACCAAATGCAATCAACTCAACCACACATATGAACAATGCCCCCTCAACTACATTAAATCAACCAAACACAAAACTAATCACAATTCTACCACTAACCACAATAGATCCCCCAATGACTCCAGGTCACCACAAAAAGATCACAATCCAGCAACTAACCCACCCAATACTGAATGGATTACTGTTAGGAAGAAAAGAAGGAACTCAACCCCAATAATTGATGAACCACTCCCTCAACTTATTTCAGACACCCCTACAAATCAATTCTCAATCCTAGCACATTTACCCCAAGAAGTAAATACATCTACCAACTTCCAAACCACCACTTCCCATCACATTAGTCACTCCTCTTCAGGCACAATGGTACAGAACACATTTTCAAGCTCTCCTAATCCATCCACTACACACTTACCATTCCACTCTCCACTGTGCTGCAAGAAACTTAACTTCTCAAATATGACACCATCCCCTCCAAAATTAACTTATAAAGATCCCCACCTAACTTCACCATCAACTTTTCCACTGGCCAGGAAACAAGGGATTAATCACCACTCACTCAACCTGTCTTCACCACCTGCAAAGTCCACCAATGAGAAAGTTACAATAAGATCCATGAAGAAAGCAGCTAGGAGGAAGTCCAGTGGTAGCTCAGAATTGATGTTTAATGGTCACATCTAAGGCCACAAACATCTTGAAGGTTCTATCTTCCATCCTTTTAATGATCTCCTTCCTCACATAGAACATTAGATCGCTAAACCAACCTTCTAAACAAACAGAGATCAAAAGGTTGATCTCTGAAAAAAAGCTTGATTTAGTCTCTATAATTGAGACTAAAGTCTCTCAAACCAACATTGAATCTATACATAGATTCCTAGCTCCTACTTGGTCCTTGGTGCATAACTACAGTTTCTCTCCTTTGGGCAGAATTTGGGTATTATGGAACCCAAATGTTATTGATCTCAATGTGATTGATACAAATAGGCAAGCCATCCACTGTAGCATCTCCATCACAGGCCAAAACATTGCCTTCTTCACTTCCTTCATATATGCAGCTAACTCTGTTATTGAGAGACATGTGCTTTGGGAGAACATCATACTTCATGCAGGTAACTTTGTCCAATCCCCTTGGCGTTTGATGGAAGACTTCAATGCCATTCCCAATGCCAGAGAGAAGTATGGTGGCTCAATGAGATGGTGCCCAGCCATGACTGACTTCAAAGAATGCCTGCAGAAAGTTGAGCTTGAAGACCTGAAATTCAATGGTATACTTTATTCTTGGTGCAACAGAAGCTCGGGAGTAGCCTGCATAGCCAAAAAATTGGATCGAGCATTGGTTAACCAAAAGTGGACCAGCTCATTCCTAGTATCTGAATGCAGCTTCTTGACACCAGGGATCTCAGACCACAGTCCCATTCTTGTTTCCACGGATTTCCACCTCCCAAGGAGATGTCTCCCATTAAAATTCTTCAATGCTTGGAATTCTCATCCCAAGTTCCTACCCTCAGTTCAGGAAGTATGGAACACATACATTAAGGGCACAACAATGTACCAATGTGTTCAAAAGCTCAAACTGCTAAAACAAGGCCTCAAAATTAACTGCAAGAAGGAATTTACTGATATTGAATCTAAGCTACATTTAGTCAAAATGGAGTTTGACTCTTGCCAACTTGATCTTGACTCCAATCCAAGCAATGATCTCTTTAGGCACCTTGAGAAGTCACTTTCCAATGAATACCTGAGGTTAGCTAAACACCAAGAAGATATGTTGAGGCAAAAATCAAGAATGACATGGTTGAAGCTGGGTGATTGCAACTCTTCCTACTTCCACAAATCCCTCTCATCTAGGAACAACAGGAAGAAAATTGTCTCCCTTACTACTGATGATGGTCAAGTCCTAACTGATAGGGAAGCCATCAAAATAGTAGTTGTTTCCCACTTTTAAAACCTTCTTGGCTACTCTCCTCCTTCAACACACAACATTTGTAATCTTCAACCATTCATCACCAGATTGGTACCTGCTCACCTCCATAGTTTTTTGGATGAGGCCCCATCCCACAATGACATCTAATCATGTATGCTTAAGCTTAGCAAAGACAAAGCCCCTGGTCCAGATGGTTACAATGCAACATTCTTTCAAAAAGCTTAGGGAATAGTTAGAAGAACTGTCACTAAAGCTGTACTTGAATTTTTCAGGAATGGGAAGTTGCTTTCTGAAGCTAACAACACATACATTGCATTAGTTCCTAAATGCCAAAACCTAACTTCCATCCATGATTACAGGCCTATCTCCTATTGCAACTCCATATACAAATGCATTGCAAAGATCCTGGCATACAAGCTGCAACAAACCCTCCCTCCCATCATTGATATGTCACAATCAGCCTTCATAAGTGGCAGGAAAATCACAGATCCAATTCTTCTTGCTCATGAACTACTCAGAGGTTGGAAGATATTTAATGAAACCGTCGCTGGAATTGAGATCTTATTTAAAGAGAAAGATATCACCACACTGAATCTTCCACTACAAAATGTGCCATTAAAATCGATTTAAAGTAAGCCTTTGATTCAGTCAAATGGGACTTCATCCTAAGTTGTCTCACTCTTGCCAACTTCCCAACCAAGTTTATCTCCCTCATTCAGGCTTGCATCTCCTCACCCTTTTTCACCATTGCTATAAATGGAGAATTTCAAGGGTACCTCAAAGGTAAAAGGGGTTTGAGGCAAGGTGACCCCATTTCACCATTCTTGTTTGTCATTGTAATGGATGCATTATCCTCTATCATAAATGATTATGTTAGAAGATCTCATACTTTCAAGTTCCATTGGAGATGCGGACCTTTAAAGATCACACACCTTTTATATGCTGATGATCTCATGCTATTCTGTCATGGAGATATTACTTCTGTTTCAGTGCTGAAATCAGCCCTTGATCATTTCTGTTGTATGTCTGGATTGGATATTAACTTCTCTAAAAGCAGTATATACTTCTCTGGAACTGATCCTCATATAGAAGCTGCAATCACATCCTTACTTGGTATAGGGATTGGATCTTTCCCAGTAAAGTATCTTGAGGTTCCTCTTATTTCTACTAACCTCAAATCATCTCACTGCAGCCAATTTATTGAGAAGATCACAAATAGAATCTCAAATTGGTCTTCGAGGTCTATTTCTTATGCAGGTAGACCCCAACTTATAAAAGCAGTTCTGGTTTCAACTCAAGTCTATTGGTCAAGTATCTTCATTCTCCCCAAAGCAGTTATCAACGAGCTCAATCAAATTTTCAGAGCATTCCTGTGGTCAGGACCTGAAATGAAGATTAGCAAAGCCAAAGTGAATTGTAATAAAGTCTGCCTGCTAAAAGAACAAGGAGGTCTTGGCATTCCAAATTTGGAGCTGTCAAACAAAGTTGGCATTCTAAGGTACATTTGGGACCTTCACTCTAATGATTTTAGAAGAATTTGGATCACTTGTTGTAGAATTCACCTCATTAAAGCAAGGAATTTTTGGACAGTCAACTTTCCACATCCCTGCTCCTGGAGTTGGAGAAAAATTCTGTAGCTCAGACATCTTGCTAGGATACTTCTTAAGCACAGAGTTGGCAATGGCTTAGAGACTTCCTTCTGGTTTGACAACTGGTCCATAGGAGGTCCTCTTTGTTCTCGCTTTCCAAAAAGCATTCTCACTAATGCAGGCTTCAATGAATCAATCACAGTGGCCACATTTATTCAAAACTTATCTTGGTCATTCCCCTTATGCCTCACTTCTGCAATCTTAGAGCTTCTAATTCTACATCCACCTTGTTCTTCAAGAAGTGATAGCAAACATTGGATAGCATCTCCAACTAGCAAGTTCAGCTTCAAGCATACAACATTATACCTCTCAGAGCACTCTCTAGTTGTTCAGTGGCACAACTTAGTCTGGATATCCACTACAATCCCTCAAATGAAGTTTAATCTTTGGCTTGTAGTTCAGTCCAGGCTTCCCACTCTAGACAGCAGATCCATGTCCAACCATGTTAACATTTGTGTTCTATGCAATTCCTAACCAGAATCTCACCAACACTTATTCCTCACTTGCTGTTTTGTCTCCCCTATTTGGCGCTACATCAAAATTAAATGCCAATTCTTCACTGCGGTTACAAATTGGGATGACTTGATTCACCTGCTATCTGTTCACTAGAAGCATAACTCTCCTGCAAATCTCCTTCGCAAATTATGCTTCTCATCAATGGTCTACCACACATGGGAAGAACGGAATGATCGAATCTTCAAAGGGAAATCTTCTACCCAAAGAATGGTTCTCTCAAGAATCACTTCCACCATCATTGCTATTCTCAAATTGGGATTCCTTCGTGATTGCTCCTTTTCGAGACAAATTCTCATCGACTGGAATCTTCCTCCCAATTGCTGTCGTCCTCCACCTAAACTACCGGACTGAAGATTGCTTGCGTCTTTCGGCGTCCTCCTCTAGGGTTCAAACCAGATTGTCCTCTAATAACTTCCATTAACGGCCAAATAGGTCGTAAATTGCTGTTATTAGATTAGAAAATTGGTCCTGGGCTCTCTTCAGTTGGGCCTCCATTTAGGCTTGTTCCCTTTTTGGGTTGTGTTTGGCCAAAAAGCCCACCATTGTAATTATCCTTGTTTCTATTTATATATTTGCTTAAAATTCCAAAAAAAAAAAAAAAAAAAAAAAAAAAATAGTAATTCATCAAGTCAATCAATCAAGCAAATTGGGCACAAACCCCAGTTTGAAAAAAGCAAACCTGGTCACTAATTAAGGCACAAATAAAAAAGAAATTATTCGCTGAGACCATAGGCTCAAAACCTTTGCAGGGCCATAGGCTTTTAATTAATCCATTCAAAGGGTAATCATCTTCCGTTGATGAGTGAGAAAAAGAGAAGCTAGACCAAATATTGGGGAAGGAATCTGTATTATAGATAGATCAAGAGAATGCACCTAAAAAGGCCTTGGTAGCCTAATGTTCCAGAGGATCAAATAGTATACATGCTTGTCATTAAAAGGCAGGATTTGTGGCTCAAACTCAAATTCATTTTCTCAAGAAGCCTGAATATTAATTAGATTCAAGCCCGGATCAAACGAATAAAATATTGAAAGGCAAACCGCTAAATCACTCGACCATGTGTCGAGAAAATAACACAAACCACTAAATCGGATAGAAAACATTACAATCATTTTCATCAAACAAATATGGCTGAATCTGGTCTGCATTGTAAGCGCTTTCATTGAACAAATATGACTGAATCTGATCAACTGCATTGGAAGCGATTTCAACGAACAAAGAAGGTTGAATTTGATCAGCTGCATTGGAAGCGTTTTCAACGAACAAAGAACGCTGAATTTGATCAGCTGCATTGTAACCCAAGGAAAGAGGAGGCATTAACTGATCAGCCGCTAATGTTTCAATTGAACCACCCTACATGGTAGATTTTTTGAAATGTCAATCATTTTAGAGGATTGCAAGCGAAATCACCTAAATATATATAAAATCTAATACCAAGAAATGCCAACCATACACACTTCAGTCGTTTTGATATATGAGAATAGAAAACTGAACCAAACCGGCATTGTGCATTTAGTGCCGTAATTGTAATCTCAGCTTGCTTAAAATAGAACTTTCACTAAATTAGTGATTGAAACACTTGTCCAACGCATTGTCGGTTGGAAACGGGGGCATTAAAAATATAAACTTTGGATGAGATTTGAAATAGATTCTGCTAATAATTTTTTACGGATCTCTAGACAAGTGCGTTTCTCTCCGTAAGGAGATGAATGTGGTATATTTACTTTCTAAAATCCGTTTCTGGATGAATGAGAAATTAGCTGGGTATGCAAAATGTGGGAAGTGTTTGTCCCACATGGAAAAAATGTTGAAACAAATTGAAATTTAAATAAGTTGAGTTTACGATTTGGGCTTGGGCTTGGGCTTGGGCTTGGGCCTAATTGTAAAGTCCAGATTATTCTTTTTGGAATTTTGGATTGGGCCTAATTTTGGGCTGGGTTTATTTAAATGAGTTTTACAAATGAGTGGGTTTTTTTTTGGTGGTTGGTTTTTTGAATTAAAAAAAACTACTTTTTAGTTTTTCTAAAAGGTTACACCTTTTAAATTAAAAAACCATATTTTAGTTTTTCTAAAGGGTTACACCTCTTAAATTAAAACACCACTTTTTAATTTTTTCAAAAGGTTACACCTTTTTCCGAACCATCATGACCCATGGTTGCACCCACTTGAAAAGGCGCATTACAACCTATTAGAATGGATGTGTCTATTGGTGAACAGACACCATGTGAACCATTGCAACCTATTGGAATAGATGTGTCTAGTGATGAACAGACACCATGTGAACCATTGCAACCTATTGCAATAGTTGTGTCCAATAATGAAGAAATACACCCAATCCGAAAAGGCATATCTGTTTCCATAAATACCCCCCTTTGGATCATTTGCAATTCATTCATTTTCATTTTCTTCTCTCCCTCTCTAGACTAGAACCCAACCCAAGTGGGTTCAAACCATAGGTTAAGTGGTTCGAGCCACTTCGACCCTAATCCAATTTCATCGAGCCATATTAAGATTGGTCCGAACCATTTGGTTCGGATTACACCCAATTCAGCATTTATATAGTAAATAGATGCATTTTTGAGTCAGAGAGAGTATTACACGGAGGAGGTTCGCCGTATCCACGAGTTTGTAGTGCTGCTACTGGTGGATGTAGATCGTTGTATCCTGGGAGATAGACGCCACTGAGTCCGTTAGCACCATAGCGGGGCGAATCTGTCTTAAGGATATAGTATCCAATACTAGCCTCGGTCCAGGTTCATTCCTTGCATATTATTATTATTTTATTGTTTTATTTTGCATATTTATTTAAATATAGAGTTGCATATTTAATTAATGATTTATTAGCATATTGTTAATTATCTCATGACATATTAGTATAAGGATTGTTATATCTTAAAAGTCACATTAAGCATATATTTTTCCAACAATCTTAAGACAGATTCCTTCCTTGCGTAGATTTTATTATATGTTTCTATTTAAGATATAAACAAGTAGATATTATATTAATAGTTGAGATATGATAAAATAATGTTATATACATTATTATATGATAGTATGTTAAACATTAATGCATTCAATATTATGTGAAATTGAAGCATGTTATATAAGTGGATTATTGAATTATTCAATATTGGTTGAATTATTTAATTTTGTAATATGATATTATGAAGTATATGACATTACCTTAAACATGTACCAACTAGAGGTGGAAAAAAGTACTTCGTTACTTTTATCATTGGTTGCACAAGATACCATTATGTGTATTTGCCACGAAGCAAAGATGAAACCTTAGAAATGTGACATCATATGAATTATGGAAAGGTTGAAAACCTTTCTATAAATTCTTAAAAGTGTGGGGGTGTCTATTTAAGGTTGCAGATCTTACTCCTATGAAAAGTTAAAGTGAGACCTATAATGTGGCAACCTTGTGGGTGGGTGTGCCATGAGCGGGTACAAGAGACACATGTTATCACATTGAGCAAGTTACAGGTGCACAGTCCCACACCACCTACGTAAGGGAAAGGTAAAGTGATTTTATGTAGTGGTGTTATCTCCAATTGGTACGAGGCCTTTTGAGATAAAACCCAATAATAAAATCGTGCGGGCTTGATCTCAAAGTGGACAATATCATACTATGTGATGGAGTGGATCGTTACATAAAACCTTTGATAGGTTATAACATCAGTGCATATCATTTTCTTGTAGGCTAGAACGTCTACATCTTTTGGTCCTAATTTTTTAGTATGTTTATTGGAGAATGAGCCACAAATATTTCTTCTTAAATTAATTATTTGATATAATTAATCATGTGATATAATATGAAACTATATTGTTATGCAAATTCAATATTATTTTTACAAAAGTTTATTATTTGAGATTATAATATTGAGATATGTAGTTGAATTACTTAGTGTACGTAGTAATTTAATTTTACAATATAGCTTATTTAATGTGTGATATTATTAATTTTGTATGAGTTCATGACTGGTTTGTGTATTTAATTCAACAGTAAAAAATTGATTAGTCTAAGTATGCCAATTCTTCCAATAGTCAAGGGAGAAAGATCTATACTAGTGTCTAAGACACGTATAGCTGTGAATGGGCTAAATAAGAAAAGATTTTCCGATAACTCTAAAGAGTTTAATGGAAAATGTTATGGATATACTAAGCTAGTACACTGAGATAAGCTAAATCAAACCAGTTAGCTCTAATGTACAATTTAGCTAAAAGCTAAAATGTTACTGAGTTGCAAACAAGGTAGCTTAGTTATAAGCTAAAATGATTAATGAGGTTCACAGAACCTAAGAGGAAGATGAAAAATCTGTTAGTTGGTTCTAGCTCTCAACTTGGTAGTAAAAAAAAAACACGAGGGTGATAAGTAGCTATTTTAGCCATAAGCTATTTGAGCTATTCATCATATCTGCTCATGTAGGAGAGAATAATACTACTTGTAAAGTAGTAGTTTTTGAAGAATATTCTTCAAAACAAATTACTCTACTACCAAGGTAGACTACTTAGATAAGTGTGTACTAAAACTATGAACTACTAGAATTGATAACTAAACAAACTTAACTTCAAGCTAGCGGTAATAGCTAAAAAGTGGGTGCTCATCATAACCTAGTAGTGAGATATGAGAAGAGTATACTTAATCTAAGCTAGTAATGATACTTAAGAACTCATTTTTGACTAGTAATGATAACTGAGAAGTGAGTGCTCACTTTGTAGTGATTGTATCCAAAGCTTAAATAATAAGATAATTATTTGCTTAAATGATTGAGTTATGTGATGTGTGACACATGAAAGGTTATAACATGTTAATATGACTGACTTAACATGAACCTAAATATGAATAACTCAATTTATAAATATAAAAGAAGTAAAATCAAATATTAATTAGAGCCCATTGTAATTAATATCTTTAGCATTAATTCACGGTAATGTCGGTGAATTATTATAAGAATATGCTAAAGATAAAGTAAGTACATATGCACTAGAGACTGTTATATATGCTTGTTGAGAAACGAATATGGAACCTTGAAAAGGTAGATGAGGTGAAGTATTTAATATATGGTACTTTTATAGTTGAAAAATCATAATAAATACATTAGAGATAAAATTTCAGGATTATCCCAAAGTTGTGGGGATATATTATCCATAGATGAAATTTGTCACGAGTCACTCATCTTAACAGAAATACTTATAAATGTGGGGGGTTCCAAGTCCTAAGAGCTTTAGGATAGAACCAAAAATCATTTATATTATTATAACAATAGTGCATATTATTTCCTACAAGGAAAATATTATGGAACAACTAGAAGAGTTCTTTTTTCAGTTGAAGTGCTGAGTTATTTGTTCCAGTTGAAAAGTCAAGTGTGCAAGCTTATAAATCCTTGAATGGATTAAAGCTACTACCGAGACAATGA